GACAGCAGAGTATTTCTTGGAATCCACAGAGCAAGTGGCAAAACTGAGAAGCCTCTGTCTTGGGGACAGTCTCTCCAGGCTCAGAAGCTGTGTCACTTCTCAGCAGGAGGACCTGAGAGGCAGCTTCGAGTCACTGGAGGGCTGTCAGGAGGAAAAGAAATGAGTCTCGCTGTGAAGCTTCAGAGGCAGGATTAGGCTCTGTGGGTAGAAATTATAGGGAAGCAGATTTCAATACATTAGCCTGATGCTTTTTGCCATTAGAGATGTCCCACAGTAGGGTACACCATTTGAGAGGTGGTGAGTGCCCAGGCACTTGGCATACTCCAGCAGCAGCTGGACAAGACTAATTGGAAGACTGGAGTGTGTGATCGGCAAATGTTGTAAGGAACATTCTGGCAAGGAGCGTGGGTCTCAGGAGTCACCTGCTAATGCATAATGCTAGTAATAGCTATTCATTTGGAGGAGGGTGTTGCATGACTCAGTCTCCAGGCTTAGCCTTCCCTTTTGCGTACAGAGTTTTGGGGGTCCTGAGATTTTTTATTTTCCTTTACAGAGGATTAAAGGATACTATAGAGGACATTCTAGCAGCAAGCATGGATCTCAGGAGATTTCTCTTTAAGTCTGAAATTCTGTAATTCCCAGCCCCAAGCTTGACAAAGCTCTTGCATTTATGCTACTCAGTGTCTAGACTCACCCAAGCCAATCCTGGAATATAAATGACAATCTTCAGGGACATATCCTCTCCATTGGCCCACCATAGCCTAGCCACCCATCACTGGAGGAAGGCCAGAGAACCATGTGCTTTCCTATTTATTAATAGTCAAGGTGGATAACCTGAAGTCAGGAGTTCAAGACCAGCCTGGCCAATATGGTGAAACACCATCTCTACTAAAAATACAAAAATTGGCCAGTAATCCCAGCTACTTAGGAGGCTGAGGCAGGAGAATCACTTGAATCCGGGAGGCGGAGGTTGCAGTGAGCCAAGATGGAGCCATTGCACTTCAGCCTGGGTAAGAGAGTGAGACTTTGGGTAACAGAGTGAGACTTCGTCTCAAAAACAACAACAACAAAAACAACAACAAAAACAGGGTTAGTAAAAAGAATGCAGCTGTGGAACTCAGGTTCTGCTCTTCAGTCTGTCATTCACCAGCTCTGGAACCATGGACAGATCCCTTCTCTGGCCCTTGCTTGCTTTATTTATCAAAAAAAGATGGTTCTGAGTAGTCCTCACACTCTTGTCAGGTCAAATTAATTCTCTTATTCTCATGCTACTTTATTGAGAAAAATAAAAGCCATCAGATAAGAATTGCCTCACCTTCCCACCTGCCTGCCTCTAAAGCTGCATACCCTGCGTTTGCCTTTGTTTAGTTGGAAAAGTACCTCCACTCCTCTCTAACGTCAGCTTCTCCACTTGTGCTGTGGACCCTGCATACGCGAGTACTTTAATCCTGAAATTATCCTCTCACCTTCCTCCCTACCAGGTCATTCCATCAATACACACACATGCCAAAATAGCCACAAGATACATTGTGTGGACCTTACTGATGTTCTGGTTTTTTAAAATATACCTCATAAAACCATTTATAAGACAATCAGGGAAAAGTAAACTCTGACTAAATATTTGATAGTATAAAGAATTGTTTTAAAGTTTAAGTGCCGTAACACTCTTATGTAATTGTCTTTTTGAAAGTGCTTTCTTTTAAAATAATCCAAAGTACAGGAGAAGTAGTAGGGTTATGGATGAAATAATTTTTTATATTGGTAATTGTTGGCATTACGGGATGGGTACACAGGAGTTCATTACACTATTTTCTGTACTTCTGTATATGTTTGAAATTTTCCAGAATAAAAGTCACAAATAATAAACAAATAAGGGACCAGATTCTCAGCAGATTTTACGCCACATCTTGGTAGGACCCTCCCAGGGTTCCAGATATTTAATATGAAGAAGAATTAGGTTGGCTCTATAGATTGGAGGTCCTATCTCCCCAAAAGGCTGTCCAGCGGGCAGAGAAATGGGTGGTGTGCCCCAGGCTCCCGCCTTGCAGTCGAGAGATTTCAGGATCCTCAGATCCCAGCAGAGGAAGCAGTCAAGTCTTACAAAGAGAGATGCCCAAGCTAAGAGGCCTCCATCAGCCTGTCCAGCTCTCAACCCACCAGAGGGCCAGGATAACTCCTGTTTATCCAACGCTTTACCGCTTTCTTACAAAACCTCATACATGCAGAATCTCATTTCATCCTCACCATCGCTTTGGGGTTTTTCTCATGCTCCTCCATTTTGTTAATGAGGAAATGGAAGCTGAGAATAAAAAAGTGACTTGCCCAAGGTTATTCAGCTGCTAAAAGGCATAGCTTGGTCTTGAACCCAGGTCTTTCTCTATGAAAGTTGTATTCTTTCCTTGTCTCCATACTAACTATAAACTCTTTGAGGGTAAAGACTACATTTTGTTTTCATCTTTAAATCGCAAATGCAATAATCATGCTGGGAATGTAATAAGAGCTCAGTAAAAGTCTGCTGGATGAATGGATGGGTGTGAGATGTGCCCCAGTGCTCAGTGTAGATACTCCTTCTCTTAAGCAAGTGTTTATCACATTCTGTGTTGCAGGCATAATGTGCCTAGCTGCTGGCTCCCCTAGTGGATGGCAAACTCCCCAGTGGCCAGGAGGGCCTTCCATGCCTCTGTGGCCTCCAGCAGACCTGGGTAAAATGGTTGGGAAAGAGGGACAGAGTCCTTGTGTATGGCAGTGGTATGAGTCTCCATAAGAAGACACTTAGCACGCTTGTTATTTTTTCTCTCAATGAAATATTTTTGTTTTACTGTTACAGAATAAAATAGAACCAAAATCTTTCATTCACATGCTGATTTCTTAAGCTGTTGGGATAGACTACACATCACTTCTCTGACTTCTATTAATTATTCCCTCCCTGTCATTGAAAAGGGGTCTGTTGGGGGGTAGGGGGCTAGGGGAGCAATAGCAGGGGATGGGGAGGTTGGGGAGGGATAACATTAGGAGAAATACCTAATATAGATGAAGGGGGGATGGAGGCAGCAAACCACCATGGCATATGTATATCTTTGTAACAATCCTGCAAGATCTGCACATGTACCCCAGAACAGGGAGGGAGGGAGGGAGGAAGGAAGGAAGGAGAAAGAAAAAATAAATAAGAAGTCCAATTGGGATGTTGGTGACCACATCCCTTCTGCATCTCTCCATAGGCCCCATTCCCTTCAGGGTCCAACACTGGGCAGGCTAGGATCCTTCTCCACGGGATAATGTTAGACTTCTTCAGGCCCATCAGTGAGTTGACAGAGGCTCAATGGGCATCTGAATTCACAGAGGACTCTAAGTGGTCCTGGCAAGTGGCAAGACTTAGCACTCTCAGGCGCACACTGAACAGAATCGATTGGTTAACGGGAGGTGGGAAAGGCTGGGGAAGTGCAGTTTAATTTCCTTCTCTGGCGCCCTGACAGCTGGATATGACAGCAGCTGCTAAAATATTTCAAACAGTCAGTTTCATGCAACGCTTGTAGTGTAAAAGCTGGGTTTTTGTCAAACCCTGGGAAGCTAAAATGGTGAACTGTGAAAGCCTAGGGCTGGCAGAGTCCGGGTGGGCATGTTCACAGGCCTTGACCCTGGCAGCTCCAGCTGGTAGCGGCTCTTTGCCAGCCCTGGCCTGAGGTCCTCCCACCTGGAGTGAGGTGTCAGAGTGTCTGCCAGGAACAGCATGTCACTGAAGCTACCATGCATTTTGAGTCCGGCCGGAAAATTCCTAGGGATTTCAGGGCTGAGACACAAATCGGGCCCAGAGCAATCAGAGTTTTTAATAAACAGTGACATGCTTCTGTGCCTCTGACCCATTCCTGGCACATCTACAGTATCTGTCCGGGATGAAGGGTGGGGCAGCTAGGGTTTGGTTGATTAAGAAAGGCAATGACCATATAGGGTGGGCTGACATGTAACCACGTCATTCTACGACAGTCCTCCCCCACCAAAGAACTGGAGGAAATGCCTACAAGGTCTCTTAACAGCACTGAGGAAAGAACCTATGGTAAGATGGAGTCAGAGCCAGTGGAGAATCCCTCAAATTAACTTCTAGCTCAGCCCCTTGAGGAAACCGTACCAGGTTCCTGCAGAGAGGAGGGCTGTGATTAAAAGTGACGCAAATGGAGATTTCCAGCTCTGGAGGCAATGAGCCTACATTTTCCTGGGGAGAGGGTTCGGTGCTTTCAGCAGATCCTCCAAAGGGAGTGTGTTCTGTAAAAGACTAAGAATCACTGACCTTCAGGCAGAAACTGGTTGGTTTACAAATAGGCCCAATGATCTGGCAGGCCTGCCCAGATACAGATTGATGCTGCTGACCTGAGGTATGAAGATAAACAAATTAGGAGTTCCCAGACTTTCACTGCCTTTGTGATTCATCAGAACTACTAAGCCTCATCTCCCAAGAAGCTTCCAGGGTATTTTTTCCTCAGCCTGTTTATTACAAAGACTGGTGACTTCACATTTGCATTGCAAATAGCTCTTCTGTGTTGACATTTCATTTGATCTTGAAGGACCCATAATATTTTTCCGGTTTGGGCAGGGTTAATGGCTCGCATCCAGAAACCAGTAGATACTCATGTACTCAAAATATAACAGATGCTCAATAACTATAATTTGAATGAATAAAGGAATGAATGAATTTGAATATAGGTTTCCAACTGCACAATAGCAACACACATTCAGTTGTCTTTAAACAATTATAATGTTAAAATGCTTTGCTTTTCTAAGATTAACTACTTTTATTCATCATTTATTCATTTATCCATTCATTCAACAAATGTTTGCTCAATACCTCATTTAATTCTTGACTGAAAACTGCATGACAAGAGGAAGCCTGGGACTATGTCGTATTCAACTTTACATTTTCAATATCTCCTGGTACATATGAAATGCTCAAAGAATATTTGTTGGGTGACAAGAGGAATTCTGGATGTCTTTTTTTTTTTTTCAGGAAATTGTCAAACACACTCAAGCTAAGAATTTGATTTACGTCCTCACATTTGAAAGAAGAGTAAAATATTAACAAAGAGGCAGCCTTGGTAGCCCTCTGGATATTCACAGCATATAGACTTGAAAAGTTGTCGTAACTCATTCATGTATTAATTCAACACAGGTTTGTTAAGCACCAGTCACTACATAGCCACAGAGGACATAGAGGTGAGCCTGATCTGTGGATGACCAAGTCATTTCAGCAAAGCTTTATTGATTGAGGGAGAAGATGAGTGGAGAATAAACAGCAAGACTGAGGGAGGAGGTCAGGAGAGGATAACAAGCAAGACTGTGGGAGGAGATGAGGAATGACAACCAGCAAGACAGAGAGGAGGTGAGGAAAGAATAACCAGCAAGACTGAAGGAGGAGTTGAGGAGAGAATAACCAGCAAGACTAAGGGAGGAGGTCAGGAGTGGATAAGAAGACTGAGGGAGGAGGCAAGGATAGGATAACCAGCAAGACTAAAGGAGAAGGTAGGGAAAGAATAACCAACAAGACTGAAGGAGGAGGTGAGCACAGAACAACCAGCAAGACTGAAGGAAGATGTAAGGAAAGAATCACCAGCAAGACTGAAGGAAGATGTAAGGAAAGAATCACCAGCAAGACTGAGAGAGGAGCTGAGAAAAGAATAACCAGCAAGACTGAAGGAGGAGGTGAGAGGAGCCTGGCCAAGTCCAGCAGATCTGAACCCGTTTCCCAAAAGGTGATGTTTAACTGAGATTAAAGGATGAAAAGGAATGACAGCCAGGCAAAGGACACAGGGTCAGAGGTGTCACAAGGTATATCCAAGGAAAACCCAAGATCAGACCTAAGAAATCCTCAATCCATAGCCATTCAGACAACTGAGAAACCTAGGAGTCAAAATCAACCAAGGCGGCCCAGGAGTAGTGTGAAAGAAGAGATAAACATCTTTATCTGATTCACCCCGAACTGCTTCTCCCTTTCTTTCTCAAGAATAAGATCTATAATGAATGCTGAGAAGGGGCTTAACAGGGGGAATTTTCCTTTGAAGAGGCAAGAGCCAGTGTGAGACCTGAAGGTAAGAGCCAGCATTCTCTATCAGAGGAAATGAAAGAAGGTCAGTAAAAGGAAAGGGTGTGAGGCTGGAGAGGAAGTAGGGTCAAAGCCTGCAGAGCCCTTTGGGCCATGTAAGAAATTTGTTCAAAATCTAAGAACACGAGGATGTGGGAGCTGAGCAGGGACATAACGTCCCCCATGTCTGTACTTTTAAACTATCTCTCTGGCTGCAGAGATTCTCAAGAAGCAATTGTACATCTGAGCAATGATAGTGCCCCAGGCTCAGGATGGCAAATATAAGGAAGTGGGTGAATTTGAGAAATATTTCAGAGATAAAATCCAAAGAGCCTAATGATTCATAAAGCATTTTTTGAGTTCCTGCTACATGCCAAGCATCTTCCTTTTTTAATTCTCCTAACCATTTTCTTAGATTATTTCTATTATTATCTCCATTTTCAAAAAAGAAGAAACTGAGCAAATTTCCAAAGACCACCAGTTTATAAATGGCAGAGCTGAGATTCAGGCCAGGCATGAAAGCTCCAATCCTCTTATCCTTTCCTCTTAAACATCATGTCATACCATTTAGGTTTCTGGCTTAGGCAATGGAAAGAGCGGTGGTGCCATTTACTGAGGTAGAAAACACAGGAGGATTTGGAAATTTGGGTGAGAAGAAAATTATGAGTTCAGCTTTCATGCTTGTGGGACATCCAAATGAAAATGAGCAGTGAGTAGTCTGGAGCTCAAGGGATAGATTTGGGGGTGGGGGTGGGAACGGAGTAGACATGTAGATTTTAAAGTCATCAGCAAATAAGCAAGAATCGCACTTCACGGCTTCCTCCTTGGGAATGATGCTGAATTTGGGAGCAGATTCAATGCTTTCCAAGTGAAGAGGAAGTGGGAAGATGTCAGTAGTAATGAGCCCAGCTGAGCCAGGGCACCAGGAGCTCTAGCAATGTCTCACCCAGCTCTGCTTCCAGGTCATGCCCAGGAGACACTCAAGGGCATGACGTTAGGCCCCTGGCGTTCTGCAGCCCCAGGCTTCCCAGGCATTCTGTGGCAACACTGCATGCCTGCGTTGTGGGAGCTGCCTTAACACTGATTAACTCTTCCTTTAAAAAGTCACGTTTCTATGTTGCCTGCCAAAATGGTAACAGACAGATAATGTACTGTGTCACTAACACATCCCTGTCTATTTAAAAACCTCCAGAGAAGCAAGCAGATGAGCTTGGAGTCAGCTCAGTGGTGGGAATTATTGCTTGGCTAATTATAAACAGTGTTGCCAGAACTCCAGAACATGCTCAGGGGGGTACAGCCCATCTTCCTTGAGGATCTATGGGTGACTTTTGAAAATACCAACAATACTCAAGACACAGGAAGTCAAGAGATAACATAACACCCTCGCACAATTGTGAATTGAGAAATAGACCCTCATTTGTGGGGTAGTATGTCTGTCAGCTGGCCCCCAGTGATCCTCCTCCTGGCATTGTGCCCAGTATGGTCCCTTCACCCTGTGAATCAGGATTGGCCCTGTGTGGCCAATAGAATAGAGCAGAATTATGTGAATTTCAAGGATTGCAGATTTCACCTTGGTCTCTTGAATCACTGACTCCGGGGGAATTCAGACACCATGTTGTGAGGTCACTCAGCAGTCCTATAGAGAGACCATGTGTCAAGAACTGAGACACCTCCCTCCACCCCACCACCCCACTCCCAACAGCCAGCACCAATTTACCATTAAGGAGTGAGACACCTTAATATTGAATGTTCCCTTCTCAGTCAAGCCACAACTGACATCTGACTGCAACCTCATAAGAGACTCTCAAGCCAGAGCCACCCAACCAAGCCCCTCCCAAATTCCTGACCAACAGCAAATGTTAGGAAAATAAATGATCACTGTTGTTTCAAGTCACTACATTTTGGTATGATTTGCACATTAATGAAAAAAATCAATAAGAAGACTGGGTCCTGGGTAGGGAAAGAAATATTGAGTCCCTACTGTGCTGCAGGGACTAACATACATTATCTCATTTACCAGGCCTGCTTCACAGATGAATAAACCAAGGCACAAAATACATACAGTTGAAAAGCCTGCCCAATTCCACAGCTAGGAAATGCAGAACAAGGGTTTGAATCCTGACCTGCCTGCCTTCAAAGCTCTGGCTATTTCTCCCACATGCTCTGCCTCCCTGGAAATAAGCAGCCCAAAACACTGGTTCTAGCTCTGCCATGACATAGCTCAGTGATTTGGGGGAATGGTTCATTCTTCCCCAGCTCATTTTCTTTCCTGGAAAGTGGGACAGTTAGAGTCTTTGTCTGTTGAGGGTCCAGTTAGCTCTAATATCCTTTGACCCTGCGGCTCCATCTCATTGCCAGCATCATCTACCTTCCTCCTAGGACAGGCTGTTCTCAGACTTCCCTCTCGCTCTGGCTGTTCTCCACAGATCATGAGAAGTTGGTTTCGACTGTAGCAAAATGATCATAGGTTAGCCTTTAAGAAATCCCTAGAAGTTCTGAGAAACTTAGGATACCAAGAAAACCTGAAAAATTTTCTTCCCTGGAGGCTTTTCAAGATAACATTATTAAGGATTTGTTCAGGAGCTTTTAGGTTAGGTGAGCAAATCATAAAGAAATGAAGCCAAATCCAAAAGAAACGGGGTGGTGAGCTTCTAGTAACTTCTGGCTTGCACATAGTAAGCAACTCAAGGAGAATTCATGGATTGAATACATGAATAATGCGCCTTTTCATTGTCAAGTAGAAATGAGATATGTGACAGAGGGCAAGTTACTCAACCATTCTGAGCCTCAGTTTTCTTATCCATAAATAGTAAATTAACTCAAAGGGACTGAAATAAATATAAAAGACAGTAATACATATAAAACCTTTCACAGAATGTCTGAAAGATAGAACGTGCTTAGTGAGTCCCTATATTCTGTTAAAGAAGAATGACCATATTGATTCAACAGAAAATTAAGGACACTTCATCAGTACCATCAACAGTTGGAGTGCAGGCTCTTTTTGGTTCTATGAACCTCTGGGAAGCATTCGCATCTGTGGAAATGGAGTGAATTTTGGAAGGAGAAGCCCATGTTGTAGACTCAACAATCTCTCCTGCCACCCCCTAGCACCTTAATAGCACCTGCCTGCTGGGCCTTTCTTGCTCCAGCCCCCTCTTTTGCCACATCCACCCTCAAAATCCATTTGTGACCTCATCACTCAGGGCATTTAAGTGCCACCCACCTCAGTTTGCCCTCTCCTGACCCAAGATTTGGAAGTCTGTCAGCCTTCCCAGCCAGATTAAGATGCTGACTCTGATAAATGGCCTCTTTCATCAGGGACTCCAGTAAGTGACCCAAACCAGGACCTTCCCTTCACAAAAGGACTTTCTTCCCACCAGCTACATAGTATAGCAGCCACCTGTGTACATCTCCCAGGAGAATGCCAAGAAGGGGCTGCTCCATCTCCTCTCTGCTGCCCTTCTTCAGATCTGACCCTCAAAACCTACCTACTCAGAAGGCTGAATCTTGCTGTTCAGTCCACACAAGGAATTTTTCAAGAGTGTTAGATTCTGTACAGGTCTCTAGGAGGTGGACACATAGTCGTAGTAATTCCATTCTGACCCTGAAGATAACATAAATGCTTCCTAATCACTCATCCAGCGCAGGAAAGTGAGTTTAGAGAAGGGATGTAGTCCTGGCATTATTATCATCAAGTCTATTTAGTCCAAAGAGAGATCTGTCAGGCTTCATCAGGGACTGTTGATGGGCTAACTCAGTTAAAAACTCTCACTTCATTAGGCGGACGAGACTGTAATGATATCTTCTAACCCATAAGTAAAGGATTATAATAGTTTAATAAGCAAGGAGGGCTCCAGAACATTCAATAATACAATTAGGTTAGGCTCAGGAAGAAAATATGATCACTGGATAAAAAACAGCCCTTGTTTTTCATTAGTCCTCACTAGTATTGCCAGTGGAGATGATTTGTTTTCCTCCAATATCCTGACATCAAAAGACCAGGATAAACCAGGCTGTACCAGCCTTTGCAGTGGCCAGCTCAACTTCCAATCTACTCAACGACTGAAACAGGATTAAGGTGACCCTGATTGCTTAGGCCTCCAGGTGCCTCAAAGAAGCAAATGACAATTCTCACTAGAGGCAGCAAACGTTAAGTAAATTTAGAATAAAAGCATTTCCAGACAAACAAAACCAAGACAGTTTGTCACAACCAGATCTGCCTTAAAGAAAACCTTAAAGTGCGTGTTTCAAGTGGGAGAAAAATTATTCCAGATGAAATGACACAGATGGGGAACTGGAGCCGGGTGCAGGCAGTGGACGCGGTTCCGCAGAGAGCAGAAGATGGCAGTGAACGTATACTCAACGTCAGTGACCAGTGATAATCTCAGTCGACATGACATGCTGGCCTGGATCAATGAGTCTCTGCAGTTGAATCTGACAAAGACTGAACAGCTGTGCTCAGAGGCTGCCTATTGTCAGTTTGTGGACATGCTCTTTCCTGGCTCCATTGCCTTGAAGAAAGTGAAATTCCAAGCTAAGCTAGAACACGAGTACATCCAGAACTTCAAAATACTACAAGCGGGTTTTAAGAGGATGGGTGTTGACAAAACAATTCCTGTGGACAAATTAGCAAAGGAAAGTTTCAGGACAATTTTGAATTTGTTCAGTGGTTCAAGAAGTTTTTTGATGCAAACTATGATGGAAAAGACTATGACCCTGTGGCTGCCAGACAAGGTCAAGAAATTGCAGTGGCTCCCTCCCTCGTTGCTCCAGCTCTGAATAAACCAAAAAAAAACCTCTTAGTTCTAGTAGGGCAGCTCCCCAGAGGCCCATCTCAACACAGAGAACTGCTGCGGCTCCTAAGGCTGGCCCTGGTGTGGTGCGAAAGAATCCTGGTGTGGTGCGAAAGAATCCTGGTGTGGGCAATGGGGATGACGAGGCAGCTGAGTTGATGCAGCAGGTCAACGTATTGAAACTTACTGTTGAAGGTTTGGAGAAAGAGAGGGACTTCTACTTCGGAAAGCTACAGAACACTGAATGGATTTGCCAGGAGAGTGAGAGGGAAAATGACCCTGTATTGCAGAGGATTGTAGACATTCTGTATGCCACAGATGAAGGCTTTGTGATACCTGATGAAGGGGGCCCACAGGAGGAGCAGGAAGAGTATTGACAGGCTGGACCAGCAGAGCAACATCCGAATTCTTCACTCCAAATCATGTGCTTAACTGTCAAATACTCCCTTTTATTATCCTTAGAGGACTCACTGGTTTCTTTTCATAAGCAAAAAGTACCTCTTCTTAAAGTGCACGTTGCAGATGTGTCACTCCTTTTCCAGTAAGTTCGAGTTAGGAGCTTTTACCCTGTAGCAGAGCAGTATTAACATCTAGTTGGTTCACCTGGGAAACAAAGAGGCTGACTGTGGGGCTCACTGTGCGGATGCGGGTCACACTGAGTGCTGGAGGAGGGGTTATGTTATACGCTGAGGTGGCAACCTCAGTGGAGTAATGTAAAGACTGAATTGAATTTTAAGCTAATGTGAAATCAGAGAATGTTGTAATAAATAAATGCCTTAAGAGTATTTAAAATATGCTTCCATATTTCAAAATATAAAATGTACATGACAGGAGATTTTGCATTTGACATTGTGTCTGGGAAGGAAGGGTCAGACCTTAGACCCTTTGGAACCTGCTGTCACAGGTCTTACAGGGCTGTTTGAATCCTCACAGGCCTAGGCTTTGGTCTAAAAGGAACATTTAAAAAGTTGCCCTGTAAAGCCATGTGGTGTCATTGACCAGTTGCATCCTTGCTAAAAGGCAAGAGGCATCATTGCCTGAATAACAGAGGATGTGTTTCAGCCCTGAGATGTTTGAGTTGAAGAGCTCGGTTTTCATTGAGCATTTCTCTATTTTTCCAGTTGTCCCCAAAATTTCTATGTATTATGTTTTTGGGGAAGTCAGGTGTGCTCAGTTGTTTAATCTAACAACTACTTTTTGGGACTTGTCCACACCTGTGGGATTTCAATGGCGATTGTATCCCATGTTACTGTCTTCTGGGTTTACATTTACCACGTTTCTCTTCTCTGGTCCCCTTGCCCATTGGGGACTCCTCTTTGGCTCCTTGAAGTTTGCTGCTTAGAGTTGGAAATGCAGCAGGCAGGCGGTCATGCTGCAGGTTCTTTCTGGGCCTCTGGCAAAGTGAGTGGCCGGTGAAGGCCGTGGTTACCTTGGGATCTGCAAGGCTGGGGTGTCCTCGGGATCTGCTGTCCACAGCTCTCCACTGTAATCCGAATACTTTGCCAGTGCACTAGTATCTCTGGAGAGAAAATTCACTAGTGTGTTACTAAATGTTAATTTTCTTTTGCAGAAAATACAGTGCCGTGTCTGAATTCATTATTAGTATCTAAAATAGTTAATTCCTTAGCTCTCCCTGATTTGCTTTGCCCACAGCCTATTCAGTTCCTTTTTTCGCAGGATTCTGCAAAATGTGTCTCACCCACTACTGAGATTGTTCAGCCCCTGATGTATTTGTATTGATTTGTTTCTGGTGGTAGCTTGTCCTAAAATGTGTGTAGAAAGCAAGTGTTTTATGATAAAATTGTTGTGTCGTGCATACTGTGTGTGGAATTCAGAGGAAAACCCAGATTCAGTGATTAACAATGCCAAAAAATGCAAGTAACCAGCCATTGTTCAAATGACAGTGGTGCTACTTCTCTTTTGTGGCCTTTTAGACTTTCGTTGCCCTAAAATTCCATTTTATTGGGAACCCATTTTCCACCTGGTCTTTCTTGACAGGGTTTTTTTCTACTTTAAACAGTTTCTTTTTTTTTTTTTTTTTTAATTTTTATTGGATTTTAGGTTTTGGGGTACATGAGCAGAGCATGCAAGACAGTTGCGTAGGAACACACATGGCAGTGTGCTTTTCTTTCCTTCTCCCCCTTCACCCACTTTAAACAGTTTCTAAATAAAATTCTGTATTTCAAGAGTAAAAAAAAAAAAAAAGAAATGACACAGATGTGGAAAGAAATGAAAAGGGAAAATATGTGTGCAATGTTAGCTGTATACACCAATAATAAGTATGTCATTGGAGTTTAAAATATTTAAGCTAAAATACACGACAATAATGACATAAATCAGAAGGGGATAAATGGAGTTTAAGTACCTTAGATCTTTGCACTTTCTGGGGAGACAGTAAAAGTGTCAACTGATGGTAACCATGATAAGTCAAAGTTATCTCTTAGGTAATCAACGCAAGAATAATTAGAGTATATAACTTCAAAGCTAATAGAAGAAGGAAATACTTTTTCAAAATCAATCTAAAAGGCACAGAGTAAGATGAAAGATTTACACCCACATGAACCAATGGCTATATTAAATGTATCTAGACTTAATGCTCCAATTAAAAGTGAAGATTATTCACCTGAATAAAGCACAAAACACAACCATGTGCTTCTCACAGGAGATACAGTAGAACTGGAAACAGGTTGACAGTTAAAAAAAAAAAAAGGCCATACAAAAGCTACCTTAAAGAAGGCTGGTAAGTTCTATCACAGAGCTAAAGGCAAAAAAAACCTTTTACTAGAGATTAAGAGGATGCATCATTATGATAAAAGACTTAATTTACCAGGAAGACATAATGCTTTAAAATTTTTATGTACTTAATAATGTAGTATCAAAATAAATGAAGCAAAATCTGACAGAACTACTAAAAAATAAACAAATCTATAAAAACAGTGGGAGATTTAAATACACCTCTCTCAGAAATTGATAAGACAAGCAGACAAAGATCAGTAAGGATACAGAAAATTTGAACAACATGTGTAACAAACCTATCCTAATTTACGTATTTAGCACACTGCACCCAGCAACTGCAAATTACACATTCTTTTCAAACCCACCCAGAACACTTTTTTAAAAAATTAACCATATGCTGCGCCATAAAGCAAATCTCAACAAATTCCAAAGGATAGAAATCAAACCAAGTCTCTTTAACCACAATGCAGTTAAGCCAGAATTCAATAAGAAAAAGATTAGTAGACACCCCATATGTTTAGAAATTAAGAAATACACCATCTACATTACTAACAAAGAAATCACAATATAAATTAGAATACAGCTTAAATAATAATAAAAATTCTATGTGTCAAAACTAACTTCTGGGATCCAGCTAAACCACTAATACATTGGAAAAGATGCTAAAAATAAAAAATTTCTCAATCATACTGTAGAGTTGCAACTCTTCTCCTGGACAGGCCTGTCCCAGTCCAATTTCCTGAGCCAGACTCCGGGACTACTCGTTGGATTTTGCCACTTTCCTGGGTTGGATCCTCCACATCCTGGATCTTACTTCTTTCTCTTTCGCAGCTTAGTCCTTCATTTAGATGTAGTACATTCTCAAGCAACTTCCTGAGAAAGGTGCATGGGAGATAAAATTTTCTAGTCCCAGTCTAAAAATAATTCTACCCTCACATTTGACTATTAGTCAGTCTAGGTATAGAACTTTAGGTTAAATTTATTTTCCCCTCCAAACTTTGTTGACCTTTCTCCATGGTCTACCAACACCCAACGCTGCTACTGCTCAGTCCGGCGCCAGCCTGTGTATTGCTTTTTGCGGACACTTCATTTTTGTTTTCTCCTTGGAAGCCTTTGGGAATTTCATCCTTGGGTGTTGCATTTCATGATGATACATCAAGCTTTGAGTCACACTGTATTTGTTACATTGGGAATGTGGTTGCTCTTTCAGTTTGAAACTTTGCTCTTGGGTTCTAGAAATTTACTTCTATTACTTCTTTGACAATTTTCTCTCCTCGATTTTCTCTACTTTTTTTTTTTTCCACAGATAGGACCTTTTAGCTTGGACTAGTAATTCCTATCTATCAGCTCATTCAACTTTAGCAACCGTCTCATCCCCAGTAGCTTTTCCCAAACTACTACCTTCACCATGAAACTCCATGAGTCTTCTCAATTCAAACGGGCTTCTTCAGCATTTTTGCTTTTCTATCAAGGACATCATGGAGAGGATAAAGAAATTGGCAAGGCTTTTCCGTGTCTTTTTCCAATGCTGTCTGGACGAAGCAATTTATTGCTTCAATTACTGAATCAATTTATTGACAACTTATTTCAAGTCGTTTGTCTGCACCTCTCTCGTGTCATGATTTCTGAATCTTCTTCCAGATCTGTCAGACCTGCTGGTGCTGAGCATAAGAGCTCCTCCATATCTGATTGTTCCATTTTTAGTAAAACCAACGCAGAACAGATTAAAACGAGTAACCATCGGTAGTCTTGACATCAATGTGAGCTTCAATCATGGCTGCCATTTTTTTACCATGGGACACATTTTGTCACAGTTAAGAGCCGTGCCATGGAAGTCAGGCAGCTTTTGCCCTGAACATCTTCAGTAATCATCTTGAATTTTCTAAATGCAACTTCATCATTCTGCAAATCAGCAGGACTCACTTTGAACATATGACCCTTGAGGCCATCAGATACAACTTTGATTGCTTGGGTCCTGGTGACTTAGAGGCTTTCCAATATTTCTTATATTAAACATAGCAGTTGCTTTCACATCATACCCATCTTTCTTAGAAAATGGATCAGCCACCTTCTTCTTGGCTCCCTTTTTGCCACCTTTCATTAAGACCCTTGTTTTCACCAACCACCACAGTGCTGCTCAGAAAGCCAAAATGGCTCTTCTTTCTTTTTGTAGGGTTCTTATTAGTCAGATGTTGAACTTCCTTTATTGGTCTGCCATATAATTCATTTAGTTTCCTTAAATACAATCCCCATTGTGTGTGTGTGTGTGTGTGTGTGTGTGTGTGTGTGTGTTTGCTTGTTGGTTTGCATAAGTTGACGGTGGGGGGAATGCCTCAATGTTAGTGTCTAGGAGTGAGGGAAATGTTGACTGTCCATATATAGTTCTAATTCTGGCCTCTGTTTATAACCCCACATACCACTTCACCCTCCATTATGCCTGATGTCTTCAGTTCCTATGTCTTGTTTTAGCTTTAAATTTCACTTGACATAACACAAGTTTTCTCCTTAATTGTAGCTGATCCTTTCTTCTACTTCACCGGGTACCACCCACCATTTCACCTATTTTCTATCTTCAAGCAATTTGCTGAAATTTCTCATTCTCTTCATTATAGAGAGATAATAACTTTTCATTATTTTACTATTATTTTAAAAGATCTTACAGAGAGAGGAGATACATCTACATATAATCTATATACTCAGTCTTTCATCTTTCCTTACAAGCTCAGCTTTTATTTCTTTGCCTGTTTGCCCACTGTAGAGCTGTAAGCAGAGCAGCAACATAGTATTTTCCTCTTTAACTTTGGGCATAACACACACATGGCTAACCATCATTCCCTAAATATTTGCTGAATTTAATAGATTTGCCTAGTGCAGGCCAGGTGCAGTGGCTCATTCCTGTAACCCCAGCAATCTTCACTTCGGGAAGCCAAGGTGGGTCGATCACTAGAGGTCAGGAATTTGAGACCAGTCTGGCCAACATGGTGAAACCCTATCGCTAACAAAAATACAAAACTTAGCCAAGCATGGTGGTGTGTGCCTGTAGCTCCAGCTACTCAGGAGGCTTAGGCTGGAGAATCACTGGAACCCAGGAG